ACAAGGTTTTGAGATATTTACTGAATGAGCAACTGATAGAGAAACATACTGTAATCATCTGTAGCGAATGAAGATACCAAGAAAACAACACTAGTGATAATTGTAAGTCAATTTGCTGACCGATTTTGTTAATAGTTTCATTAATTTTATCAATCGTATTACGTGATTGTCAAGTCATGACAATGCTTTATGACGATAACCTGAAACTATTAAATTTAACTAGTTATAGTGTTGATTGAGGATAAGTCAGTGGAAAAATAGGTATTGTTGCTTTAGGTGATTCAAAATTATCAGAAATTTGTAGTGTTACAGAATCCGAGACGCCTAATTATATTATAATTTTCAATTCAAAAATATTCGTTTAGTGGTAATTTTAGTAGGCTACGGAGTTTTGATTTTAAACGTTTGTTTAGTCAACAGCTACCTGGGGATTTAGTTATTTGACTAGTGCCGTTGATAGTACCTAAATTTGTAATTTATCTAAACTATGTCTGCATTTTAGGCTGCTACTATGACAAACCAATCCATAAACCCAAATACGATTAGCAACAACGACTATGATGGGTTTATTTATACACGTTAAAGGCGATTCAGATGATTTCTAAATTTAGAAGACATGAAGATATACTGTACGTATGTATGGGCCAGGTTAACAAGCAGGTCAGAAGAAAAGATATTACAGGATAGTGCATAGTTTAAAACAGGATGAGGTGTTAGGTGAAGGAACACTGATAATTAGATCCCGATAACTATTTAGTCCTTGATTGCATTGTTAGTCAATGTATACTTACGCTATTTGCAGGTCATATTTGCTAGAGCTTGATGTTTAAACAAGTCTATGTTGCTGAAGCATGTAAATGCTTTAAAGCTTGTTAACGAACCATCAAAGCTAATTAGTTGATATAGATGACGAACTTTTATTATCGATTGAGCTAGTAAGTTATGTGAACTAATAGATATAACATTACGATAATATATGTGACCATTAATCAAAGGACTATTAGAATAGTGGGTTTACAAAAATAAAATCCGGTTGAGAAGATTAAGGTGGAAATAAGGATTAACAATAATAGGTTGCGTTTCTTTAGTTGGGCTCACCAATGTAGAATTATGGTCTACTATGATATTAGTAGTGCTCTAATAATAGACCTAATCCTAAAATTGTAGATTTGTCATGATATAACTGCCTAATCTATAAGATTTTACGTGGAAGTCACACCATCTACTACACCAACTCACTGTATCGTATCAATTACCAATATGTGATGTAGAACAAGGTTAGGCTAGAGAAAGAACAATATATTTAATATGAATAGAAGATATAAGGTAACATTCCGCAGAGACCACGCCTGCATGGCCGAGCCATGCCACTCGATCAACTCCAGTTCATTCCATTCCTTGTTCCCGCCTTTTCCATCGTCATGTATTTCTCCGTGTTAAATATTGAATATCTATTTTCCGAGTAGTGTTGTGTTCAGCTTTGAAGATTGTGTGGTTATGGTCCAATGCCACTACAAGTCTCTCAGTAGGCTCAAAGTCCATATTCAAGAGTAGGAACGATTTGATTAGCCGGCTAGAGACTGCCGAGGCTGAATATATCTTGCGGATAATGCAAACATTGCTGTCACTCGAGGTGACATGGCTTTTCATAGTTGATTACAAATCTCTATGCTAACTTCTATTGATAGAAGAGTGTATATTTTCGAATTCTTGTAAGATAACACTTTATCATTCGGTGAGGTCATGAAGATATTGGCAGAAAGTAACAGTTTTTAAGGCATTTGAAATATAGCAGCAGAAATAACTGTAGCAGACGATCTAGGTTCTTGATGACTTTTGAGATCATGATCAGTACATACTTCAACCTCCACGGAGTTTTTAAAATAAACACGCCATATTTTTGTGCACGGTAAAGTATGTTTTGATAGGAAACTTTCAACGTTCTTTGGAGCTTACTTATCACGTTACAAGCTGAACTTTTCACGTGTAAGTCGTCTCAGAATCCTTCACACTACTTCATCTAGTAGGTGCATAGTATGTACGACCAGCCCGTCGTAAATCTGAAGACGCGTCGAGAACGTTTTTGAAGAGACTTCGCTTTAAGCGTAACGAGATATATCACATCATGATAACCTTTACGACGACCTTAAACGTTCTAGATTTTTAACGCACTGAAACTGAATGTATCACGCATCAAAACCTTCTTTATACACTTTTACGTAATAGATGACGTTCTACTTGCATATCGAATTCTGAAAGGAAGAGGTATGATGTAACTTTAAATAAGAAACAGTATCCTACAGAAACTGTATAATACAGACATGAATTACAATAGTAGTAGTAATTTTGGATAATGACGTCAATCCTGTCAGACTACAAATGCTAATCGAAAAAATAAACCAGCTCGTTTATTCCATAATGAGTTTATGGAACTAAATTCACTCAATCAACAAGAACTGATTTCGTTTCTACGATTTTTTGGGCATTTATTGTTTTATTCATTTAAAATTTGTCGTTCATGAATTTCAATGATCTGTGTCGATGGTTATGGTTACTTGATTTGGACAGGAATGCTGAGGCCTCTTGACTAACGCTGACGTCACATCTAGTGGCAAATACTTAGCATAGCTTGGTCTTTCTGACAGTCAGGTGAGTCATCTACTGTGATAACTGGGTAGAATAGATAGTATTACTCCTAGAACAAGATGTATCAGTAAGGACTTTGAATGCCTCAGTGTATGCGTGCAGTCGATTGGTGCAAGTTAATCATCCTTGCCACTGAGGAGGCTCAATAAACTGTTCGACATACAGTGATATTATGGATGATTTAGCTACGGCTCAGTGTCAGTTCACTGGCCTTACAAGGTTTAGTAATTTAATCAAATCTCTTCCAAATGTGCTGATGATCATAGAACATCGTATACTCCCTCATTTTCTGAATCATCTAAATTTGGTGCAGAATACGAGGACAAACCACTTGAGAAGTCATTAACAAGTACTTCTGATGCTAAAACCTATATGTAATTCGACATTGAATCTCATGTTTAGCGGTACTAAGTGCGTCAAGATTTTTCATTGTACTCTGGCGCCTGTTTCTAACCAGATGTAAATCGGCTGTGTTTTATGTAATTTCTTGTTATGTCAACTGAATCTCAAATTATGTTTTTGAGGATTATCAGCTGTAACACTAGCATATTATGATTTGTTTTTGGGAGTTGTGTTCGCAAATATGTATTCGTTTGTCAAGTTATTCTACTTCGCCTCTTTTAATTATGATAATGTTTACTGTTACTGTTTCAGACATAGTTTTAATTCAAGAAATAATGATAAATAATTTAACGTAACTCACAAAGTGGTTCAGACTATGGTTTTTTTGTTAACCTGCCTTGTACTCTGTAATTTCCATTGATTAATTACGAAGTTGGTCATAGGACTACATTGGAGTTTTGAAAATGAGCCTTAGTGTAGGTTTCAATGATGTTCATCGTGGTATCTGGAATATATATGCCGAAGAGGGTCTCACATCTTTTAGCTGTGCGGTAGGTGTTCTGAATCGTAATACCATAGCTGTGGCGTTACAAATAATAACTAAAAGTATCTGGCCGCACGTATTAGGAGAAAAGATCAGTGCGGTTTATTTTTTATCATTATACGTGCATACCATTTTTGAACTGTAACTAACTGTATGTTCCTGCTGTTACCACTGTCTAGTGAAAGACTTGCATTGTCTGTGATTTGGGAAAAAATGAAACATATGATTTATGCACTGTTCATTCAAAGAGATGATAGTATCACTAGATTTTCATCGCGCTTACTTATCACTCTTTGGGTTTTGCATTCACAGTCCATATGCATGATTGTTTCTCTCTGTAAAATAACAAACATATCAGAGCATAGTGAACTAGTTTGTAGCCCACTCTTTTATCAGGAATAGTTTAGTTAACCCTTTAATGTTTACCTCCTGATTTATGTCCCTAATGATTTCTAAAATTCGCAGTTACGGAGCGTTTGATATCATAGGTTTTGATATATCTGTCATGACACTTCATGAGACTTAATTGATTAATATTTTTCAATGTTACAAAAATGGTTATGATAAATTGCTTGAAGCTGTTAAATTTTATGTCCGACTACGAATAATTTTAGTTTCCAGTGTATAAAGCCGTCACTATATGAGTTCGTGTAAGGTGATTTTTCATATTTATCATTGAAGCCTTGGATCGTATGAAGACTGAGTTCAGTGATTTAAGTACTTCTTTCCCCATTGATATTGCTAATAGAGTAAAACCTTCAGGTTTTGAATTGAATGATTGTTTTCTCTAATTTTCTAATTTTTTGTTGGCGTATCTCACGCGCTATCAGTTTTACTATTATCCGTCTTTTTGATCACCTTGTCAAGATGTCTTAAGTGCATTAAATCTTACTTTAATTATCTTAAACGTAGCTCAAAGCGGCAAAGTCACTCTTGGGTTTGAAAAATATTTTCGATACACCACTTATCTTACTATTTTGATATGTTTACTGAATAACGCTTTTAATGTTCAACTTTCCGATGGATTAGGTTGTGCTCACTCTGCTCTAATCTTCTTATGCCTTGTATGGTGGTTTAAAATAAGTTCAATTTAGTCCATACATATTTGTGTCAGGTTCCATACTGGATATAACTGGTTGACTAGCTAATAACAGGAACAATTTCAGTTGTCGATAAATTTGAAATGTAACTTATGAATTTTCTAATTTGATACTGTTCTTCATTCAATCAGTTATGACTTGGAGTCCATCGATAATAACTTCTCACTTTTAGCAGTAGTTTCTTAAAAACTGTATAAAGATCTTCTAATTAGAATGTTTATTGTTTTGAAGCCGGTAGCTTTGAATTCAAAGATAAAATTATTTATAAAGCTGCATTGCCATTATGGTTATGATTAGTTTAATCATTTCTCACATTTTGTTCAGGATAATCTATAAATCGGTGCACAATCCGTGACAGGCACCTATAAATGACGTCAGATATCGCTAAACGTCAGAGAACTGTTCCATCAGCCAAAGCATTTGAATTTATCTGGAAAAGACCGGTTCCTGAAGTTTTGCAGACTGGGGAGCATTTTGATCGATATGATGAGGTAAATATCCACATCGAATTTCATCTGTTGTGATTTTGATTTAACTCATACAAGATCCGCGTTTATGTATTTGGCTTTGAGCCTTACTATGTGAGGGTTACTTATACTACCTGGTTGATCTTACTGCAATAATTGGAACGGGGTTCAAACACCCTAATATTTGTTGAAATCTCAGTTATTTGGCCACCAACCTATCACTCATAGGATGCTAGTACTTTGCATCCCAAACTGATTTGCTTTTTACAGACTAAGTGAAAACTGAGTTACTATGTTAAAAGCGGTGCTTCCAAGGTAGATGAAAAACGAGTTTTGATCAATAATTCACTCAAGCTGTATTTATTATGTAAACAATGCCGGGCTTATATGCCAACACACAATTAATTTTCTATTTTAATGAAACTAGGTATGTTGAAAAGCTTTTTTCACTTAGTGGTAACTAAGCAGTGCAATTAGAAACGTTCATTAGTGCTCTGTTAAAAAGCTAGTCTTAGATTGAACAATTACGAACTAGTATTTTGTTTTCTTACAAAATTTCAGAAATATTTAAGCAGTATTTTATATTTTATGACTGCTCGTTTACAAATTGCTTTGTTCAGAATGTCTATTTTTCTTCTACGTGTTTTATTTATACCAGTATTAGTAACTCCAGCTTTTATTACAATGTCATATTATTGCATGATTGCCGAAAATTGAAGCGTTTTACCAGAGTACTTGTTATTTCTCTACACTACAGTAGAAGCAGAAAAGAAAACCAACTAAAGCTGAAAGATATTTTAACAGCAAATAGGATGTATGTTCAATAATTTGGCGAAAATAAAAAGTGAATACGTTCGCCACATTGTGGTTGATTATTAACCAAATCGCCTGGCGCTTTCGACCGCTTATTTTTGTTATCACAATGACCTCAATGAAGTTTGTACTTCCCTATAATATCTAAATCGACAACCAATATCTTTATGAGCTTGTCATTTTTAATACTTTATAATTTTAGTCCTATTTTAGTTGGTATCAAATTATTTTTATGTTGCCATAATAAACCTTTCTGCTGTATATCCACGTGTAGCCTAGTCGTCGTAGTCTTGAGTGCTGTTAGAGGTATGAGGACGGTTATCATTTCCCGGTTGCCCACACCGTGGAAGGGTTCTTCTGAAGGTACCTGAAAAGGAAATTGGACTAAAGGAGGTCTTAGTAACCTGAGAGCGTGACCGCAGTGCCCAAGTTACAACTGCTTGAGGTCGATCACACACGACCTTTTTATGGGTGATTTTTGTGTTAGCTCCGTACTTGTTGAGACCTTAACACCGGAGACGGATATCTGTGGGATAAGGTGAGGTGTGTATTTTTAGGGTCGACCTTTTCTAACCCCACTCCTCCTTGTGGGAAGGCAGCATCGCTGTCATGCTGGTTGTCTGAAGGAAACACCTTACTGCTGTCACACCTATGTACAGTCAGCAGTACGACTTCACCTTCGGACCTTGGGTTTGTTGCTTTTAGTCTTACCGCTCTTCAACCGACCTGTCTGACATGGTAGGACCTTGAGGAACGGTTGTTCCAACCAGTATAGCTCGGTTGCTTCATCACGAAAGGCAAGCCCGACCACCACGTCAAGGTAGCAACAACGGTCGGGTCGTGGCAGTAATACTACTGTTTAAACACAACTCCTAGCTCTTGAAGATTAATGTGTATAAGCAATTTAAATATGTAAAAGGACTTCCCAATATTTTTCTTAGTTTGCTAGGTCTTATAGTCTGTGTAATAAAACAAATTTGATTTTACAGCTTTAAAGACGTGGGATTTGTTATCCGTGGATCAAATTATTAGGATTTATGGCTAGCTCTATTTCTTTTGAGATGATCTCTAGTTCTTACTAATGGATAATGGCGTGCGAATGTATCATTGTGACTTATATTATAACCAATCATTTCTTATTTATTTCCACTTAAAACTAAACCATCGCCAATCTAGTTTTGTCGCTACGTTTTCACATTTTAGCTCAATGTTATCGGGTAATAACAAATATTTTGTGAAAATCTCGTACTAGGAACATAGTAGATCTCATTGCATACAGTAATGCTTATGTGTAGTAACGCACTGCGTATTGTTGAGGTAAAACGACAAAGTTTTACAGATTTGTAAGTATAACAGACTATCATTCCATCCATAAAATTTGACCGTATTTTGAAAGGATACGAATTTTACTAAATATTACAATTTGAAATCTCTGTCTGTTCATTTAACACCAGTTTAAAATTTAGTAGTTCTATACGAATTTTAATAGCTAAAAGATATGTCATGTATAGGGTGTGGCTTTAAGCATTATGAGATTATACCATATGACATTTCTTGGCAAGTGGTATAAACACATCTGAAGATCAAATCTCTGAGCAGCAAATGTTGTCCTGTCAGTATCAAAATTACGGTTATAATTTCTTTTCAAAAAGAGTTACTGTTAATTTTAAGAATAATGGTACATTCTCGTTTTATTTGGTTGCTGGAAATTGAGGAACTTGGAGTAAATCATTTAATAGAACAGTTAATTATCCGTCAAGAAAAAGTATTGGCGGAAGTTTCGTTATGGATAAATTTGCTGTGGAGTACTTTACCTTATTCGCAAAATATTTGTTAAGTGATGAACAAATTCTTCTCAGCCGATAACTATCACCTTAAATATGACTGAAATGACTGTATAAGCCTTTATGATAGAAATTCAATTGTAAAATGAATAGGTTTTTGAGGTTGAAGTATTGAAAATTTTTGTGCACTGTAAGACCAAGATCAACCAATATCTTCATGTAAAAAGCCTCATCGAATTAGGATCAGAGAGGAAATGCTTATTATCGATTTCACTTGGTCATAAGAATAATGAGTTGCTTTCATAGACACGCTAGTATTTTAAAGGTGCTTTGTTTTCTGATGGTTTAATTAAGAACCTTTTATTGTTTTTCCTCATATCATAATCAGCACAAACTTCAATAAGAAGTGAGTTATTAGAATTTCTCCATAACTGACTTGCAGCTTGTTCTGTTGATCTAGAATTTGATTGATTGTTGTTCATACGTGTGTGACCGTTGTTCGAGTGTTTATTTTGATTGTCTCTACTTCTGTCCTCATTTCTATCCTTGGTGTTTTTTATCTTTCTCCTTACTACTTGGTAGGTTGAACCTATTTCAGTATGTTTGTTGCTTGGTACATGACTTGTGTGTCAGGCTTCTAAAAACTTTCTGTTCAGGACTTTGACATTTTCCCAACTGAACTCGTATCCATAGTTCTTTACATGCACTAATACAAGTGAAGCCATGCCGTGACGTTTAAGGGATAGCTGATATTTACTAAGACGTAGTTGGAGAGACAGCCGCTTTGTTTTTATCTTGAGCTACAAATATTCCCCATCATTTCAAAATCATGCGAGCTTAACACATTTCTTGCTGTTCGAAAATTGGATAACTTTGCTAAAGAGCATGCTCGAGAATAGAACAATTATATTTTCTCTACAAATGTTTACACTAACATGTTTTACCATCAGGTGTAAGATATGGACCACCAATCAACAAATGAAGACAAATCGAACATCATCTACAAAATAAACTTCAGCAACTGTTAATGGTATTACATACGCCAAGGCAGCTGCACTATGAAGTCAACTGATTTTGTGTTTGTAACACTTTAATCATCAGAAAATAAAACGTTCGAAATCCCCATTCTGAGCTACGAATATTCCCCATCATTCTAGGATTTGTAGTGATGGTGTCGCGTAATTCTTAAAAGGTGAAGTCTTTAAAGCACCCAGTTATGGTTGCCATATTTATCGCTTTATTCGAATTCTGAGTTACTCACAGAGTAAGCAAAGTAACTCTGGAAGGTTACGTAAAACTATTGTCTTCAAGGTTTCACCCAGTCTCTAAAATAACATATTGTAGTTGAATAAATGATTATCTGTTAACTATAAACAGTAACTATTGGCCTTTCTGAGTAGCGCAGTGGCTACTTACTGTATCATTGTTTCAGTTTCCAGCACAGGATGATACAATTATCCAGAGCATATGGAGCTGAGTATTATCAGTTCTCAAATCTCACTTAAATTGTACTATAGATCCATCTTAATTATTTTTCTGCCTACTGTTCCTCACTGCTCTCATGGCCTATATGTGTATTCTGTATTAAAAATCATACATAAGATGGTTACAGGTGTGGTCTCCTGAAAGTTTGCTTTCTTTTGAATGTTAATGAAATGAGTATTCACGGTTTGCTACAAACAGGAGAAAGTATCGAGATGGTAGAGAAGATTTCTATCTCAGGTGTATGATTTTGGTAGTTTCATTCTTGATCTGTAGAAATCTAGTTGGTTATGAATTTACGCTGTTTTTGAGCTACAACTATGGAATTGAAGTGTAGTTAGTAATTTGGAACTATATCTAGTGTGTTGATTTCTGTTCATTATGTTATTTTTGTATTCTGTGGTTATAAAGTTAAAAGGGATGTATAGTTGGCTTCAAGTGTTCTGTTCTTTATTTATCTAGCTTTGTAGCCGGTAACTGAATTCGTATCCAGTTTTTTTCAGGGAAGCTATGAACTAAGCGTAATATAAGCACCTAGTTTTCGAAATGTAATTGCTGAAGTATTTTTAGACTCGTAACTCAACCAGTAAGTAAATATCCACTGGTTCACTCATTAATTTGTAGTCCGTCATGTACTAAACAAAACTACCGTGACCGATTAAGTTTCATAAACTTGTTTCTAACAAGATGTTGGTGTCTTTGGTTTTCACTTTGATTAGCAGTGAACACAAATAATTACATTGAAGTTATATGAACTTCCTGATTGCCTCAATGGAGTTAGTTAATATAAATTAGTTGTTAACCCTTGAAAAATTATCAAAAATTCTAATTAACTGAAATAAATGTATTAAATTAAAACTGTATCGCCAAAATTCCTTACGTTTGGATGACTTATAACCACAAGATGCAACTCGGTCAATACTGTAGTGTATAAATGTGTAAACATTATGTGATTACGATCCGGGGGAATTCACATGTTAGCTATAAAATATGCAAATTTAAGCGCATAACTATCTTTAATATTTTATCAATTAAATAAACTTTAACTTATAGCTCTGTGAATTACTAACACTTTTTTTCTATTTATTATTTAGGAAACAGGAATTCTGGAACCAAACTGTTTCGTTCGAGTAGATAAAGATGGTTTTTTTATATACTGGCAAAGTGAAAACAATGTAAGGTTAATAATGTCTATAGAGTGTCGGTTTTATTCTAATTAATACTAAATAACTAAGGATATATGGTTAGTTTTACTAAGATTTTTATGATTACATATGTATTCAAACATGTAGTATTTTTCAAACGCGAAAGGTAAGAAAACGTGTACGACGAAACGAATCGTTTTCTGTCACCTGTTTTTATCCTTTTGTTTGGGTAATCGAGTTGGATGGTAAAGAGTCATACATTTGTTTATTAGAAAGAACTTGAAAGTCACTCTTTGACTGTTTAGATATAATGAAATTATATTAAAATTAAAATACAGAAATCATTTGAAAATTTGTCGCCAAATAAATAGTTTATGAAATGGAGATCTTGACATTTAAGTGAAGTTTGAAAAAAAAATCTGCCGGTATAAACAATTATAAAGTGATAATTATGGTAATTGAGTGTTATAATAATAATAATAATAATAATAATAATAATAATTTAACAAGGTAATAGAAATAAATTGTGTCATAGTTTATTGGGTACTCTTGGTCATTTTTAAAACAACAAAAATAACTGTAGAAAGGTAAATGAATATTTAGGGAGGCGCGAACCATGATTTTGTATTAGTCTATGGAGTCATTGACTATTGAGTCGGACCATGTTGGTAGATGTAGACTACTAGGTTTAGATCTGCTCGATTATCGTAATCAACGGTTTAAAATGTTGAGTGGAGAAATGATTTAGATACATTCACTCGTTGTCTTTTTACTTAGATCCAGAGTTTTAAAATAATCTTATAATTTTTAATTCACAAATTCAATGTCGATGCCGAATGTTTTGTACTACAAATGATATTGTTATCACTTCTACTACTATTTGATTTGTCTTGAAATGTTTTCATTTTGCTATAACGATGTACTTTAGCAACTCGAATAGGCATACATATGAACCAGGCGCTACGTTACCTATGACTGACTAACTGATCTATTTCCGACTGTAAACCCTTATGATCTAGACAATATTTAATAGTGACTTAAAAAATGAGAACGCATTAAGATTTAGATAATTGTTTGATAGTAGAAAGGTTTCATAAATTGCCAAAAAATGAAATAAAAAAGAAGGATACTGATGAAATTATTTTCATTGTTTGGGTAAAAGAATTTTAACTAATCCTATGTCTCCACCTTTATTATGGTATTCGTTCATTTTTTTGAATGACCTATTCTAACTAAAAATGTTCTTTGATAGTTCATTATTTTATTTGTAAAGTTTTTTGAAAACTCTTTATTTATTATATTTTAAGTTACTTGTATGTTAAATTATCAAATCATAGTTGGGAAACCTATGATAATTGATTAGTTACTGTTGTCTCTCTTCTATTTTTTGTTCAATGTTTTCGTGTTTTTGTTTTTAAATTTTAAATTAAAACAAAAATACATCTCAATTGGTTTTTATTTTTTTACATTTTTAATTCCCATTTATAGGATAGTCAGCAGCTTGAACTCTCTCAAATAAGTGATGTTCGTTCTGGGACAAAACCTAAGGTAACTAAATATATATGATACTAACTGTTATTCTTATTGTATATCTTTGATATTAAAAGTTTTATAGTGAACTCTTTTTTACACTTCAAATTAAGGCATGTTAGATTTGAATTCGATGTTCAATAGCAGAAATTTGAATGCTTAAAATCCTATTACACTAGGGTTTCATTTACTGAATTGATTCATGTACAATTTATTCACATAAAATTCTCATTATTAGTTCTATATAAAAATGTTATAAAACAGCGAACCACCTAAATTTAATTAAATAGACATTTTATACACTATTATGTTTTATAATGTTTCAATATAATATTAATGTGTAAAGTGATAGAGTGAAAGTAGATATAAGGTTATAATTTTGAATAAGTGGATTGTGATTGGTAGTGAAATTCATGATGTGCGTTTTATCATATTTGACACTCGTCAGTCGAGTGTACGTGCTTCTCAGTGTTGATGTTCACATTAAGGCCCTAACCCATAATATGAACATGTTCCAATAAAGACTGATCAAAATTGAATCATGATCATCCACAGGATAATTCAAAGATCTAATCATAATGGCATGGTGTTATAATATTTAATGAAATATAGATTGTTTGCAATAACCCAAAAATGTATTGAAAAGTGGTTTTTACGATGTTGATTAATAACTATGTGCCTTTAACAGGAAGGTATTTTTGCTGCATTTTTGTATGTACAGTCTTTTCATCATATTTTTTTTTACAATGGATAAGATGTTGCGGAGTTTTTCGTACATTTTGTTTTTATTCAAATATCCTTTTACCTCATATTTCTAGAGAATAAGCAAAGAGAAAATTGTGAGTGAAGTAAATGATTTATATGTTATAATAATTACACTGACCAGGTTATTCTAGTATTTTAAATGTTTATTCACAGCTTTATTCATAGTAGACTCAAAGTGATTTCTCACTAAATTTATCAATTAAGATTCTATATAACACAGAATTACTCTGTTCTAAGACGTCCAAAAATTAAAACAGAACGTTATATGTGAAACAGAAGTTTTTTTATTAATTCTCATAACCATCGATAAAATAATTTAAACATAAAATTCATGCATATAAAGACTGTATTATTATTAATTTTTTGATAATTTTCTGTAGAAATTAGCCTGTAATCTGTTAGTGTTTCAAGTATTCAAAGAAAGAATCAGAGTCTGAATCAAATAACAGAAGATAAATTTGTGTAAACAGTTTTAAACTTAAGTGGTGTCATGGTGCATTAAAGAGTAACCAGACAAGGAAACAATTTAAATGATTTAAACGTATACCAGTGTGATTTGTCATATTTTACAATTAGTGTGATGAAAAAATCAAAACAAAGGGACAATTACAAAGGATTGACGTGATCAGAACTAGAGAATTAAAAGACAGAAAAATCAAGTATTGGTTACCGATAAATTTCGATTAAATCCTTCTCCGAGCTTACTAACAATTTTGCTCATCAACAGTTAGTTTACATGACACATAGATTACTGATCTATCGTGCTCTTCCATCACTGCATTAATTTCAATAGGTAGTGCATTGATAATAAGCGAATAATTTAGAAAAAAACTACATCATACTACAGAGGTATGTCTCCTGTTCAGTACTTAGTTTGTATTGTAATATTTGACAAAGACTGATTGGAAGTTGCGAAAAATAAGTAATATGAAGGGAGTAATATTGCAGAGGTATAGCATCCAAATCACTCCAGGATTTAATCTATCAGTTTATCTAAATTTCATTTGGCTTAATTAAGAAAACTGTAGTGTTTTACATACGTAATACGGGCTGTTAGCAGTTTTAGAAGTCGATGTAATTCCACTGTTTGATCATTATTAGTCCTTATTTAACATATTTCTAGGTCTTTTAACATGTTAATCTGATATACATTATTTATACTTATTTACGCCTGTTACCTTTCGTAGAGAAGTGTAGGCTTCCCACCAGGATTCTCCAGCGAACTCTTCTGGGCAATTCTATTCATTCTTTTAATGTCTGATTCCAATTCCTGACATAGTGTGTTCCTTAGCTTTCCTCGTTTCTGTTTCCCTACAGGATTCCAAGTTAGGGCTTGCCTCATGATGCAGTCTGATGGTTTCCGCAATGTATGTCCTATCCACCTCCAACATCTTTTCTTAATTTCCCTTGAACTGGAAATTGGTTTTTTCTCTCCCACAGTAGATGTTGCTGATGATGTCCGGCCAACGGACACTAAATATCGTGCGTAGACAATTGTTCATAAATACTTGTACATGTTTGATGATAGTTGTAGTAGTTTTCCAAGTTTCATCACTGTACAGTAGGACTTTCTTGACGTTCGTATTGAAAATTCTGACTTTATTGGTTGACAGTTATTTTGAGTTCCATATGTTCTTTAACTGTGGGAATGCTGTCCTTAATATGCCAATTCTCGACTTTACGTCTTCATCGGATCCTCCTCTTTCATCGATGATGCTGCCTAGGTACATGAAAGTTTCCACATCTTTCAGAGCTTCTCCATCAAGTGTGATTGTGTTGGTGTTCTCCGTTTTTGTCCTCTGAGCTGGATGGTTTGGTCGTGTTCTCGGTGTTTTATCTGGCGATCTTGCGTTTTCCCTTGTGTATGTTGAAGCCTACTGATGCAGAGGCTGCTGCTTATACAGTGTTTGTCTTGACCTGCATTTGTTGATGTCTATGAAATAGAAGGGTTATGTTATCTGCGAAGTCTTAGTCGTACAGTTGCATCTCACCTTCCCATTTTATTTCCCTCTTCCCTTCAGATGTGGAAGTCTTCATAATTCAGTCAACCATCAGAAGAAAGAGAAAGGAAAGTAGGCAGCCTTGTCTGACACCAGTCCTCACCTGAAATCTGTCTGTCAGCTGTCCTCCAAGCACCACTTTGCACTGTTCTTCCTCCCAAATCTTCCTGAATAGAATGTGGAGCATCTTTGCAGTTATTTCTATTTCTGACTTCAGTACCTCGGCTGGTATATTGTCAGGTCCCGCTGCTTTCCCACTCTTGTTTTGTGTGTTGACCATCCTGATTTATTCGATTGTTGGTGGAGTGACATCTACAAGAATGTCTATGTGTGTTGCTTCGATGTTCAGTGGATTTAATGGAGCTGGAACATTCAAGAGTTCCTCACATTACTTTACCTATGCGTTCTCCTGTTCTTGAATCTCAGTGATTGAGGGGCCTTCTTTGTCCTTGACCGGTCTCTCTGGTTTACTATATTTCCGTGCCAGTTTCTTTGTTGTTTCATATAGCTGTCTAATATTTCTTTCTCTTGCAGCTTTTTCTGCTGTCGTTGCTAGCTCTTCTATGTATTTCTGCTTGTCAGCTCTAACGCTCCTCTTGACTTGCTTGTTCGCTTCTGTGTATTCAGCTTGTGCCTTGACTTTCTCTGTTCTCGTTCGGCTGTTGCTAATCTCTATCTTCTTGTTGTTTCTTTCTTGAATCTTGTGTAGTGTTTCCAAAGAGATCCATTCCTTATGATGATGTTTCTTGCAGCTCGGAACCTCCTGACACGTTGGAGTTAGTGCTTCTTTGATCCGTTTCCAATTTTCCTCCATTGAAGTTTCTTCTTCCGTGAGTAGATCTTGTAAGACTTAGGACCTGTTGTTGAGAGTTATCTTGAATTGGTTGAGTTTGTCATTATGTCGTGACCGGAGTACAGCAGCATCTCTCGCGAATCTATCTTTTTCCGTTGAGCTTGAGTCCGATGGGTTTCGCTGATTTTGAGTGCAGTCAGGTTGTATCTCCTCATTTCTGTGGCTATTTGTCTGGTCCTTTTGGTTACCCACATTGTCCGGACATTAATTGTTACTGTGGTTGCTTGAAGGGTAGTCGGCATTGTGACTTCTGAATAATCTCGGTTTTCATCATGAGGCATCATAATTCTTCTGAACGAAGACTCTTCATGTCAGAGAGCAGAGTTTGAATGGTTTGATTTGTTTAATCTGATGGGTGTTTTTTTAGAAAGATTGTTTTTTACGTGATGGGGCTTTTGACTCCATGCTCGACTCTCCTGCTCTATCCGGCCTTTGGTCCGGCGGCAACCTTAGAAGAGCTTCAGATGGAGTTACAGTGTTTATAAGTGACCTAATAAGTATTTTTGTGACATACCTTAAAGATATCCTATTTTTTGCAGTTTCATTAAACTATTTAAAACGCTTATCTAATACATTATGCGTAACATGAGAACTTCAGTCGAACCTTACCCATGAAAAAAGATGGTCGATTTTGTCGTACAAAATGTTCAAGAAAAATTCCATCTATCGGTGCCTATTATATCCACGTCCTTTGTAATTAGTTTGATTTTTATGTTGTGAAAAATGCAAATATGGTGACGTTTTTGTGAAGGTAAATGAAATATAGATGTCCATTGGCTACTCTTAATAATTAACTGCTGGTTTCTAAGCACTGAGTACTGTTCAATGTATACTAGTAACGTCTTTTTAGTTTGTTAACATTTAGATTCAGGTGATATGTATTTTAATACTATGTATGAGATTAGGTTCTCACTGAGAATTGAATGGGCCTTCTGTGATTAGTGGATTACATGACTGAATTAATATAATTATCTCTTCTTGAAATCGAGAAACTTAATTCTAATATGAAAACTTTTAAATACCAAACTGAGATTAACGTATTACTGTTCACTGAATAATCTATGTTTAAGACCGTACTTGGGAATTAAACCCAGGACGTTTTAGTCTCATAACGAGCACTTAATTTTTAGACCTTTGAGTCAGAATCTAATGTTTTACACATCATCTGTGTGCCCTGCTGAGATGTTCAAGATGAGAATAAAACAACTATTCAGCGCTTCTTTGTCTTCAATGTTTATTGAAGTAAGGTTAGTCAATGATCTTAACGATTAGATCACCTAATAAGCAAGTTAAAATCGTCACAAAATGCTTTGCTTTTGAATCGTAATGAAATAAATAATTCTAAATAAATTCATTTTTCATAAAAAATAAGAATATAGCTGTGAGAAGATGTACAAATT